GGCTGAGGCCGGATCATGAACCAGACTGCTCTGATAAAGGGACTGATAAAGGTTCTGATAAAGGCTCTGATAAAGGCTCTGATAAAGGTTCTGATAAATGTTCTGATAAAGGTTCTGATAAATGTTCTGATAAAGGCTCTGATAAAGGCTCTGATAAAGGTTCTGATAAATGTTCTGATAAAGGTTCTGATAAATGTTCTGATAAAGGTTCTGATAAAGGTTCTGATAAAGGCTCTGATAAAGGCTCTGATAAAGGTTCTGATAAATGTTCTGATAAAGGTTCTGATAAATGTTCTGATAAAGGCTCTGATAAAGGCTCTGATAAAGGTTCTGATAAATGTTCTGATAAAGGTTCTGATAAATGTTCTGATAAAGGTTCTGATAAAGGTTCTGATAAATGTTCTGATAAAGGTTCTGATAAATGCTCTGATAAAGGTTCTGATAAATGTTCTGATAAAGGTTCTGATAAAGGTTCTGATAAAGGTTCTGATAAAGGTTCTGATAAAGGCTCTGATAAAGGCTCTGATAAAGGTTCTGATAAATGTTCTGATAAAGGTTCTGATAAATGCTCTGATAAAGGTTCTGATAAATGTTCTGATAAAGGTTCTGATAAATGCTCTGATAAAGGCTCTGATAAAGGTTCTGATAAAGGTTCTGATAAATGCTCTGATAAAGGCTCTGATAAAGGCTCTGATAAAGGCTCTGATAAAGGTTCTGATAAATGCTCTGATAAAGGCTCTGATAAAGGTTCTGATAAAGGTTCTGATAAATGCTCTGATAAAGGCTCTGATAAAGGCTCTGATAAAGGCTCTGATAAAGGTTCTGATAAATGCTCTGATAAAGGCTCTGATAAAGGTTCTGATAAAGGTTCTGATAAATGCTCTGATAAAGGCTCTGATAAAGGCTCTGATAAAGGTTCTGATAAAGGTTCTGATAAATGCTCTGATAAATGCTCTGATAAATGCTCTGATAAAGGCTCTGATAAAGGTTCTGATAAATGCTCTGATAAATGCTCTGATAAATGCTCTGATAAAGGCTCTGATAAAGGTTCTGATAAAGGTTCTGATAAATGTGGGATTACAACATCCTTTGATTCGTTACGTGTTTCTCAAAGTGTGGTACTGCATCGTCTTCTGAAAACAGTGTGGACATTTAGAGCATCATTTGTATTTTTAAATCATAAGTTTGGGTTCGGCATAATATTATTCACATAGATAAGTCTCAGTCCTGGGTCTACAGCCTCAGTCCTGGGTCTACAGCCTCAGTCCTGGGTCTACAGCCTCAGTCCTGGGTCTACAGCCTCAGTCCTGGGTCTACAGTCTCAGTCCTGGGTCTACAGCCTCAGTCCTGGGTCTACAGCCTCAGTCCTGGGTCTACAGCCTCAGTCCTGGGTCTACAGTCTCAGTCCTGGGTCTACAGCCTCAGTCCTGGGTCTACAGCCTCAGTCCTGGGTCTACAGCCTCAGTCCTGGGTCTACAGCCTCAGTCCTGGGTCTACAGCCTCAGTCCTGGGTCTACAGCCTCAGTCCTGGATCTACAGCCTCAGTCCTGGGTCTACAGCCTCAGTCCTGGGTCTACAGCCTCAGTCCTGGGTCTACAGTCTCAGTCCTGGATCTACAGCCTCAGTCCTGGGTCTACAGCCTCAGTCCTGGGTCTACAGCCTCAGTCCTGGATCTACAGCCTCAGTCCTGGATCTACAGCCTCAGTCCTGGGTCTACAGCCTCAGTCCTGGGTCTACAGCCTCAGTCCTGGATCTACAGATGTCCATTCTTGGGAGCAGATCCCTCTCTCAAAGTGGGCCTTTTTCCACTGAGTTTTTTGATGGTCTTTCTACTTCCGTGTGGATCATGAAGACCATTGGCCCTCCTAATTGTCAATCATTCTGGTGATATGTGTCCTTCAAAAGACCAGAGAGTTTTTTTCAAAAAGTAGAGAGGGCGGTTCTTTCCTAAATATTGGAAAAATCCTCTCATTTGTCTTTTAACTGCTTCCTCCTCACCTTCAAGTCTGTGTCCTGCTCCTTCTTACCTCTTTGACCTCCTCCTTGGGGGTCCGAGGCCTCGCCACAGCTGCCCCCACTCTCTGGAACTCCACTCACTACAGTAAGTAAGTCATATTTATTTATATACCGCCTTTCACAGACCAGAGTCACAAAGTTTGGCATTAGTCTCTCACTCCACACAGAGATGGGAGGGGCCAGTACAGGAGGCACATGTCAGACAGGAGAACATGCAAACTCCACTCAGAAAGTGATAATAATAAAAATAATCAGTTTTATAAAGCACTTTTCTGGACACTCAAAGACACTTTACATGTCATTCTTCATTCACTGCAAACACAGTGGTGATAAACTACTCCTGTAGCCACAGCTGCCCTGGGGCACACTGACAGAAGCGAGGCAACCAGTCTGTGCCATCGGTCCCTCCGACCCAAAAGGTCATGTTCTGACCGGGATTCGAATCTGGGACCGCTCAACAGAACCTGAAATCACTTCTAAAACCCACTTGTTTCAGGCCTGTCCTTAACATTGTGTGAGTGTCCAAAAAGCTGAAGTATAATTATTATTGTTATTATTGATATTAATATTATTATTATTATTATTATTATTATTAACTGGACAAGGTGAAAACCTTTGCATCAGTGACACCACCATCTCCTCGTGCCCCGTCTCTGGTGTATCTCTCTGATTGTGTGATTGTTGTGTTGCCATGTTGGAGCTGTCAGAACGCTCCTCCATCATTGTCACTTCCTGGACTGCCTCGCTCCTCTCTGACAGGTGCATATAGCGTCTGTCTTCTCTCTGTAGTCCATATAAACCCAGCTCCTGATGTCGCAGAGGCGTTTCCATGGAGACCACAGACACAGCGCCGTGATAAGAGCGGTATTAACTAATGCAGTTGTTGTGGTCACGTCTGAACGCCGTATCGCAAACCATAACACGTTTGATAAATGTGAGGCTGAAATGAGACCTTTTTGAACTAAAGGTGAAACAAAACATTTATTTCTGTAATTCAGAATGTGACGATATAGACACAACACAAACCGAGGTCCTTTTATGATTTTCATGTTCATGGCTTACAGTCTATTTCAACATTTCATTTTTGTTATTTTATTATTTTGTTATCCTGGCTTTACAGCTGTGAGCCAATGATCAACATTATAGCAAAAGGTTTGATCTTGATCCAATACAATAAATAATCATTTATATAGCACATTTTTATAAAACACGTTTCCAAAGTGCTGCACAGACAAAAGTAACAGATTAAAATGTACAAGTCTTTAAATAAAAACAATTCAGATTAAGCAATGAACTATATGCATAAAAAAACATAAAACAACTTGTAAAGAATCTCTCATGAGTTCGTTTCACTTTAAGTTAAAGCACTTTTGACCAAGACTCACCTGTTTCTGCTGTGAACATGGTCGAGACAGTTTCTCTGATCTGTCTCCTCAGAGATGTTGATGTGATTCAGGGATTTACAAAAATAAACTGAATTTAATTGAATTTAATTCGGTAAAAGAAACATTTTGAACGAACATTGTTTTCCTTTTACAACACATTTATCTTTTGCAAACTTTGACTCTTTGGGCAGAAAGCGGATTGGCCGAGCTCCTCTCTTTCTCACATTTCTGTATGAAAAAGTTACTTTTGTGGATCCTGTTTTCTGTCTTAAATAAATGAAGGAACCAAAAGAAACAACTGTTTGAGAGTGATCACATTGAACATTTTGTACCCCAGCTTTAAAGGGGACATAAGTCACAATCTCTGCCCACAATCTCCGCCCACAATCTCCGCCCACAATCTCCGCCCACAATCTCTTGCATAGTTTTTCCAATCTGGTTTTACTGTAAATGGCAAATAAATCCCTGAATCGTGGCCCTAACATGTCCTGGGTGTACTTTGGAGTGACCTGCCCTCGCACAGTCCAAGTTCCTCGCCACACGCATGTAATCTTTTGGCCTCTGTCTCATTTTTAGATCTTCTTGTTCTGGCAGAAAAGTGAATTAAAAATGCATGGATAAAGACACATATTTTCTCTGTGACCCTAGACAGCGGTAGGTGTGGAGCAGCTGCAAAATAATGATGAAGTCGGAGAGGATTGTAAAACATTATAATAATCACTTCTAACGTTATGGTTGCTCTGAGAAATGATGAACATACGTGAAGCATGTTTAAATCCACAGCACTCCACTGTCCTTTCTCTACAGCTCACATTAAAGGCTTTTAAATGTGTTCTTCTGCCTCTGGACTCTGACCCCGGCCTCTACGTCACTCACCAAACCGTTTCTTAATGGCTCGTATGGTTTCTATAAAGTGCAGGGTACAATCAAAGTCACCTGCAGAGTAAAGTGCTAATGCTGCGTTCATGAAGAGGAGGTGAATACAGTTAAAGTGCTGTTGGCTGGACTGCTATCAACAGATTCTCATATGAAGTGTATTCATATGAAAACCACTGCTGCTTTATTCAGGGAGGCAGGGTGGCTGAGTGGTTAGCTCTCTCGCTTCTCCGTAGGAAGGTCCTGGGTTAGATTATTTTTTGAGTGGAGTTATTTGCATGTTCTCCCTACCACTAAAACTTGGGCACTTTTCCTGAAACAGCCGTCCTCCTGTGGACCCATCACCTGCTGGAGGCTGGAGCTCTGTGAATTGCATGAACGCAGTAAAATACCCTTCTCCTAATCATGAATGAATATTATGTATTTGTAGCTTACACTTTGTCATTTTGATAGTAGCTAGTACAGCTAACACTCTGAGCCTGTGTAACCTTCATATTAGACGTGTACGAGGCTGTTCATCTTTTGTGGCAGATTTGTTTTTAGTTTTCTTTGAACCTTTTGAGTTGCAGACCCCAGGCCTATGCCCAGAATGATTTAATGACAGGCCTAGACCCAGTGAATATTTAGCTGGTGGTTCAGACTCAGATTACTTCACGTTGTTAGACATTCTGTATCTCTATTATTGCTATCTTAACATGTTGTAGATGTAATTAAAGCCTAATT